AGATAATGACAATGATAATTACAAAATACAACGATGCAACGGAATTGATGCTAACCGACCTCTTGCACAACTTAAGAATACTTGGGAAATTGATCGTAATACTGCTAAGCAATATAATAGAAAATTAAATGAGCTTGGTATCTATTATAAATATTTTCTTTATGATCAAAATTAGCTATATTTAAAAAAAATTCAAACACTAGGAACAGACCATAGTATTCTTCATTATGCAAGATGCTTATTTTGTAATAAATATAAATGCTTCTTTACACGTGGTGAGGGTTGTTCCAAGCATTTGTGGATAATATGTGAACGTAATATTAGAGTTCCATGTCTAGGACTACAATCATGTGAAGCATTACAAACCTGTTACTCGGTTTCTGTTTTGTCAACAAATAATACATGACCCTTATATATTTGTTCAGAATGTTATGAGGCAAATGGTGGTCATCTACATAGAAGGTATGGTAAAGGAACTAAAGAAACAGACTATAATGAGAAACATGATGACTTAACTAGAGTTTTAGAAACATTTGGAAATTGGATTCAGTTAGTAGCAAAATTGGATAATATAATACAAAAACAATAGCTTATCTGGTCATTGTTGCTAGCAGTTGAGTCGTTAAAGTCTTATTTGCCGTGAGAATTGCTTTATAAATCAATAAATCCAGATCCTTTTGAACAATTTATTATGCCAACTCTACTAATTACTCGAATAGCATTTAGATTAGCAAAAATAGATTTAAGCATTAAGCAAAAGCAGTATCTTTAAAAGAAAATGAGTGTACATATTTCGGAAATCTTCTTGGAGAATCTTTATAGCAATCACGCATCTCGCTTAAAGATAATTTGCCAATATTAGAAAATCCTCAATCGCTTGTACAATATGCTTTGGTATTGCCTCAAACTCTGTGGTCTTTTTTTAATAGTCTTATTATGGTTCTTTTTGTAAAAAAAAACATGAAATTGCTGAAAGAAAAAGAAAATCACACGGATCACCATCAATTCCATTAAATTTAACATTAATTAAAGAATCACAATATAATTGTGATGCGAATTTCTTTTCGTTGTTAGAAAATTTGGTTACCTCATGTCTTGGGCTCACTTTGTAGATGCTCAAATATGATTTCAAAGCTTTATAAAATTCTTCGTTCTGCACATATAATTTCTTATGTTTGGGATCATGAAGTTCGTACAGAAAGATGGTACATGGAAAGTGCTAATCCTGCTAACAGACTTGAAACTACAAGTAATATCTATAATTTATCAGTTATTGATAATATTGATATAAAAGAAAAAATATTCACATACGGAAATATTTATGATACTGTACGGCAAACTGCACATGCTACTCTATGAATCACATTCCAGTTTAAACTTTCTCTAAATTTTCCTGATAATCCTTCAGTCTTTTTTTCTAAACAATCGAGCCAAGTTATAATTGGGTTATCAACGGTCACAGATAATCTAAATAAAAATTATGATCAAATTTTTGAAGAACTGCTTTTGGAAAAGAAAAATAAATTTGATATTAGTGATATTTATCAAAAGGTTATTGAAACCATAATAGGATGCAAATTTGATAAACCAAAGATAGTAATTCTAAAACCCGGTCTGGCACCAAATTCTAATAAAAATGCATATGAGACATGCGATATGTTTTTAAATAAGGTAGCAAATACAGGAGTTAATATAATCGATATTGCATGTGATGAAGCTATTTTTCGAAGACTTAAAAATTATGAAAATAAAGATCTTACCACTAATATTATTCTTGAACAGTGGCTCACTTCAAAAGACATGTGCTAAGCCTTACTTGCAGCCTTTTCTGGTTATGAAATTTTTAATATGGCATTGCAGCTTGGTGTTCAATATTTAGAGAATTTAGAGAAAGGTTCGGATTATCGTGCAACATATATAGTTCTTGAGCTAATCTGGGCAGCAGTCGGAAATGCAATTCACCGTCATCTACAAGATATGAATAAAACTATTGATAACATTAAAAATGGGTCTAATAATATTTTGAAAGTTTGGTTAAATTATTATCGGTTAGCAGGTTATTGGAAAGCACACAAAATTGGAATTTGAAGAGGAAATTTCGATTTGCAAATTGCATGTCTCACTGTATTTGCACCACTTTTTCTGGTCACTGGCAAATTTAGATATGCAGAATCAATCGCTATTTTTTAAGGAAAATTACATAAAAACACACAACTTCAAAAATCACTATATTAAGTACCATCTATTAATATTACACATGAAGGGCATTATCTAGCATACGACGAAGTTTTAGAGACATATGGTGTTAAATCTGTTAAAGAGATAATGACAAAAAAATCTGGAGATGAGAAAAACTTACACTGACAAATACAAAGAAGCCAAGATGAAATTGAACGACTATCAGTTCTTGATGAATTTGTTGACCAAGTAATAGATATTGATGATCATGTTGTACCAAATCGACTTGAACAAACATGGGCTTTAAGTAAACAGATATATAACGCATTTCAAAATCCAGATCCCAACAGTCATTCTCTTTTTGATTACACAACCCAAAATACTATGAAAGGATTCTTCAATATGGAAACTTGTTATCAACATAGAATAGAATATATGCAAAACCTTCTTGCGGAAGAAGTTTATTTGACTAAAAAAAAAAAAATCAAAGGGAAGAGAAATTAAAAACTTGGTTAAAGATTCCATAGCGGCTTTAAAGCAACAAAAGAAGAAACGAAAAAATACTCAAAATGAAGATGATATTCAAAGTGAAGATAATGCTCAAAATGATAATGATACTCAAAATGAAGACGAATAAATGGTATAATAAATTTTTTTTGTTTCACAGCCCAGATTTCATCTAAAAAAAAAGATATATACTTTATTATATACTATATTTATCTAAAATACAAAATCTTCTATTACTATATTTATCTTTGAACCAGTTGTATTATAATTGTTGCAATTACAACTCTAAACCTAAATAAATAAAAAAACATAGTACTGAAATTGCTTCAAAAGAACTTTTTATATGTAATATTAAGTGATCTACTTACTATAAAACTGTTTTTCTTAAATTTCGCAGTAAAGTTTATAATTTACTGACTTTTCAAACATGCATTTTGTCGAAAAATTTAACGTTAGCGCATCTAATGAATCTTTAATTTTGTTAAAAAGTTGCAAGCTTGAAAAGAATCTTCCGAAAGTATATAAAATAATTACCTACTTTCGAAGGCATTATATTCTATGTAGAGAAATTTATACGTTGTATTTTTTATAGTATTCGATTCGTAAAAACTTCAGTAATAAACTTTTTTAGAAGTATTTTACATATTTTAACTACAGGTTTAAAAAAATTTCAAAAGTGTGAATTTGTCGATTTGTGTAATTTATGAAAATCATATGATAAAAATCGTGATGTGACAAATCGTGTGACTGTTAGTATTAAGAATAAAAATTTTAATATACTGAAAGGACAATATAAGGTAAAGTTATTTGAGATATAATGTAGAAAAGATTAAATAGTTTATAGATATTGAAGTGGAGATAGTCTGTGATAGTAAAGAAATTTATTATAATATATAAGTGAGTTATAGTTTCAAATTTTTGTGTAATTTGAATAATTGTTTCAATTAAAGAAGAGTCTGTTACAAATATAAGATCATCATCTTCTGTGTCAGCTTCTGGAGTGGGTTTATTTTTATTAATTAAAAAAGTTATAAGTTGAAAAAAAGAAGAATTTTAAAGGTAGAGTATACAATTTGCAAATTATATATAAAACTAATGGTAAAAATTTTTACTTTTTAAAATTAAAGAAAATATTAATAAGTAAACTATTTATAAATTTTTAATAAAAGTTGTAGAGTAGAATTTTCTGATTCTAATGATAGTAAAATCATCAAGATTGGTTAGATATTTAGCGAAATACATTAATTTGAAGATTAAATATTGCAAAAATCATATGATAATCATATGATATGAACCAATCAAAATTAATGATTTTGTGTAATCTAAGAAAATTTGGGTCAATCTAAAAAAACTTTACAATATATACAAGTCTATTTTTTTAAATATTTAACTTATTGAAAATTTTACTATGATAAAGAATATATTTTAATATATATATTGTAAGAATTTTATAAAAATTAATTAAAATAGTAAAAAGTTTTATTAGTAGCATATTTTTATTTTTTGCAAAAATCACGTTGTGATACAGAAATCATATGATGAATGATCTACATACACTCTACTCTTAATATAAGGATGTGGTGTATAAATTATAAGAGATTAATGATATTGAAGATAATATCACAAAAGAATTGTTTTTTATATTGGTTACCATATACTTAGTTCATATAGTTTTGCAAGTGTTAGCCCAATCAGATTAGACATTAGAGAGTTGTTTAATCCTAACTCTTTTGGGTATATATAAATATTATAAAAGTATAACTAGTTATATATACAACTTTTAGTTGTTTATTTAAATAGTTTGCTCTTAGGTTCTATACTAGATATTATACTTTGCAATTTACTAGAAGATTATCTATTTAAGCTCAAACTTTATTAAATTATTTTATTTAAAGTCCTAAAAATTTAGCTTTTAATGCCCAGTTCCTTCTTCAAAACCAAAATGGTATTTATTCCTATACTAAATCTGCTAGAGTAATATATATTATATATATATATATTTTTAATATTAAAAAATAAGGCCTTGCTTATATCTTTATTGAGTAATTTATATAAGTAATTATAAAGAAACAAAACTAAATAAAGACTTAATTTATATATAAATAAATAAATATAAACTAATTTATCTGCGATCTAAACCTACTATAGTGGTCAAAGCTCACCTAGATTTAAATCATTAATATATAATTAGTAGGAATACTGAACTGGATCTACAAAGTGAACCAGATATTAAATTTAAGTTTAGCGAGCCCAGCTTGAAGGCAAGAAGAGGAATCAGAATATAATTGATCAAATAAGTTGCATGGACAATTGTAAGTAAAAGTGTTGCAAGTTCTAGTATAAAGTTAAGTAGGAGATCATTAGCTAACTTGAATAGAGGTAGAACTTGATGATATTTGATATGCTTTTTTCCAAGTTGAAAAGTTGATACAGTATGATTTCCAAATTTGTTCATAAATTTGATTAGAAATTTTAATAAGAATTTTGATAATAAGCTAAAAAGCTATTGAATAAAATATATCAAATAGTACTATGCATTGGATAAGCGGAGAAGGAATAAGACCTTTAAGAGTAGAATGAAGAGAATATAGATAGAGAGTAGAAGGATAAAAGGAAAAGGAAGAGTAAGATGAAATTGTATAAATTAAATAGTTAAGTTTATGAGAGGCAAGATTAAAATTAGTATTTATAATAATTTCTGAAATAGAATTAATAATTTGGAATAAAAGATTATAGTGAGAACAAGAGTATTAATAAAAAGGAGAGTCAGAAAGATTGCATTGAAAGCAGTTAGAAGATAGGAATAAGTTAGAAAATATAGAGTGAAAATAGAAATGTGTAGGTAAACTATTAAGTAAAATTTTAATTTTAAAAGATTTAAGATGACTAAGCTTAAGATTAGTAAAATTGTGTAAACATTTATAAGTATTGTTAAAGTAGAGCCATGTAGAATTCCAGTTGATAAAGTTGAAAAAGTGTGACTATTCATCAGTATGTCTTTGGGAAGACCACATAGAAATAGTCTGAGCATTGCAGATATTTTTAATAAAGTGTCTAGAAGGGCTATCAATTGAGAAATTTTCTATTGAAGGAAAAAAAAAGGGTTATGTATATTAGAATAATTAAACAATAGAATTGGAGAGGATGAATGATTATTAGCAAGATGGTCAGCTAGATTATTGAAAGTGTCATCACTGTAGGCTTGAACTTTATAAAAAGTTAAGTCAATATTATATGCTTTGATTGAGTTAATAAGTGTGTGTCAGATTGGCCAAGAATTGAATTTAAAATATTTAGTTATAGAGTGATGAGTTAGAAGAAGCTTATTGTACTTGGAGATTACAGATTGGAAGTCTGTATAAATATTAACAGAAGAATTGTGTGAAAGAGTAGAAATAGCAGAGAGGATAGCAAGAAGCTCAGCTTTATATGATGAGGGCTAGTTAGAAATTTAAGCAGAGAAATTGTGAATAACAGAGTTATTGTAAACTTGGATCTATCCAATACCCATAGTACATTCCTTGGTACCAAGATTTTTGATAGAACCATCTGTATAAAAAGTAAACTCTTGGTAAAATTGATTGGCTAAAGCAATTTGGAGCAGATTATTAAAAGCAATATTGTTATAAAAAAGAGATAAAATAAAAGAGTCTACAATATTAATTGAAGCTAAAGAAGAAATTTCAAGTAGGTTTTTAAATGTGATAGAATAAATAAGATCAATATAGTTGGTATTAAGTTTAAGTAAATTATTAGATTTTCTACCAAAGAATTGGGTAGAAAAGATTGAAGAGACTTCAAGTATATAGTGATTAGAGATACGAAAGGAATTTAAACTACAGCCTTAGCAGGGCTGACAAGTGATAGAAGGAAGAAGATAACAGATAGAAAGAGAAGAATTAATATTATGTTGCCAGTGAGTAATAAAAATAGAGTTGAATTGATGAAAAACTTTGTAAACTTGACCAATAATGATGTTATTATTGTAACAGGCAAGCACCCAGGGCTTGTAAGATTTGTTAATTAAATTAGTTTGATATACAAATAAGTTAAGACCGGAAGGTTGAAAGGAGGGAATAACAGTATGAGAAAAGGAGTGTGATAAGATAGTATTCTCTAAATAAAGTAACCAGGTAGGCTTTTTTTCTTTGGGGATATGAAGTAATCTTGGAAAAAGATAAAACAAATCAAGTAGTGTGCTATTGTTAGCAAAGTATAATTGTTCAAAAAAAAGAATATTTTTGTAGTAAAGTTGCTGTTTAAAAGTATAGTATTTGGAATGCTTGGATATATTATATATATATTTTTAGCAACCAATATATAATAAAGGTGTGGTGACTTAGTGTAGTAGTCTAGTTGTCACTCTCACTAAGTGGCAGGTCTAGAGTTTGAATCCTATAGATGACAATTTTGAAAAATAGATCTGCATTATAGTTAATGGTTGTCGATTATCAATTAGATCTAGAACTAAATCTGTAATCTCAGTCATACTATCTAGTAATAGAAGCTTTGGTATAATAAATCTGAGAAACTGGAATAACCAAAAGCCTGTTTGGAAAGCCCCGAGTTGAGATATAGTAATGATCTTTGATGGTACTACAGAAGAGCTAAATTTGAACCAGGCCCAAAATTAGAGAACCGAATGATCAGGTTCTTAAGTAGAAGAACACACCAGCTGAACCACCAGGCTAATACATTAAAGAAAAAGAGCATATGCTTCAAAAGTATAAACCAAGGGGAGGGCATCCTTCAAGCACTTAAAGCCTGGGCAAACCAATTTATCCAGGTTGCTAGCTAGAAGTAAGAGAGAGACTGATAGAGAATCCAAGTAAGAAGATAGTTCTAAATGTGGGTACTGGGGTTGTTGAAAACCTTACAAGAGCAGTGAGTACATAATAGGCAACTAATTAGAAAGGTTGTGCTTGAAATACAGATAAAGTTATAGCAGCACCCCAAAAGTTGGCTTGAAATACAAACCCAGTGGTGGCAGTACAACAGGTACTAATTAGATAAGAAGTTACCAAATATGCAGGTAAATACATGTGTAAGACATGAACCACTTTGTTAGGTTTACCTCATAGATAAACTAGCTTTAATGGTTAGTAAGTTCTAAGATAGGTGCAAAATCTA